CAATGTTGTACTTCAAGATGGATCTAGAAATAACTTTTTTTACTATGAAGGCAACCCCATTTTTCCTTGTCTTCTCATCTCCAGAGTAATATATCATATGGTCATCTGACTCAAAATGCCCTATGCCAGTCCATCTCATCTCTCCAATGCCTAATATGTCAATATTTATGCGTTCCAGGAATTGTTAAGAGGCCAATAGGGTAAAATAACAGATTTCTAGCAATCAAGGCACTACAGTGCCATAATACATTACATATTGTACTGTTAAACTAAAGGTCAGTGGTTCAAATGCACCAGCTGCTCCACAGAAAAAAGACAGGCAGTCTTCTTCTGCAATGATTTACAGCCTTGGAAGCCCAATGGAGGGTCACTATGACTCCAGAATTGACTCCACAACAGTGGAGTTGGGTTTAGCAAGCACATCTTAAGATTAAAGTAAAGATATCATACAGAATCAACCTTGGAGGGATAAGAGAAATAGGAAGAAGAGGAAAGGGGAGTAAAACTTAATAAATAGATAAGCTGCAAGAAAGTAAAGGCACTGCATCATAAGGAGTTATAATTAATTCAATTGATCAATGACAATGTCAATGTTATAGAAATGAATGATTATATAAAAAAATCCATGTATTTATAAGTTTTCATTGAAATAAAAATAAGTACATTTAAAAGTAAAATAAAAGCATCAAGTTACCATCCCATCAAGGACTTTTCCAAATACCACATGCTTTCCATCCAACCAGGAGGTCTTGGTCAAGGTGATAAAGAACTGAGAGCCATTTGTGTCAGGCCCAGCATTGGCCATGCTGACCCATCCAATGCCATAATGCTTCAACTTGAAGTTCTCATCTGGAAAGGTCTCACCATAAATGCTAATACCTGAGTGGGACCAAACAAAAAAGAGGAGAGTCAACAGATGTCATATGATTGCAAACTCTTCAAAGGGAAACATAAACTCTAGTGGAATCTATTCATTGAACACAGTATGAAGTGGGGAAGAGGAAAGGTAGGCAGCATAAAGTTGTGTGAAGGGCCTAAATAAGATGATACATTAGCTCTTTAATGAAGGAGGGGACTAGGTTCTGAAATAACTAAATACAAATTCTTATCTGTGTATGTATGTTATGTATGTATGTATGTATGTATCTACCTACTTACCTACCTATCTATCATCTATCTACACTCAGACAATTTTAACTCAAGGTACAGTTACACAGGGCAGTAAAGGGAGACAGAGACAGAATCGGAAGATGGAGGAAGCTCATACACCATACCTGCTGAGCTCCCAGGTATGAAGGTAGGATGATAGAACTGAGGGAATGCCATTAACCAGATTAACCAGAACACATTGTTCTGCTCCATTACACATCCCTCTACTTTTTGGCAAAAACTAAAAGTAATCTTTTCAATACTCAAACTCAACTGCCATTTGCATCAGAGCTGCCTTCTACCTGCTCACGTGGGTTTTCAGAGGCACAGACTTGCATGGGAGGAAACGCTCTTTCTCCCTCCGAGCAGCTGGGGTATTTGGGTCTTTGGGTTGGCCACACAACTCTTCACCAGAAGGCGACCAGAGTGCCTGCATCTTTACAAAGTACTTGGCCAAAGTATTATATGGTAGCTATTTTCGTTATAAGGAGCTCCTTGGGCCGTTCCCCTCAGAAATGCAAGTTCTCCAAGCACATGCTGTACATGTACTGACCCTGACTTTAAATTCACTTCAGATGTAAGATTTCTAATTCAACCAGGGCTCATTTTAGAGGGCTTCAGACTGCTAAATTTAGGCCATTTTCAAGCACTTTTCAAGCATAAGAGGGCCTAGTGTGTTCATGTTGCACTGCTAACCACAAAGTCGGCAGTTTAAATTCAACAGTGTCTCGTTGGGAGGAAAAGGGGCAATTTCTTCCTACAAAGAGCTGCAGCCTCGACAACCTGATGGAGGGTCATTAGGGGTCAAAATTGAGTTGATGGCAGTAAGTCTGGGGTGGTGGTAAGTTTTTTGTTTGCTTGTTTGTTTTTGTTTTTGTTGTTATAAAAAAACCTAGCAGTGAAGTGGTATTGTATTTTGGCTACTAACCAACAACTTGGTTATTTAAACCCAACTTTCACTGTGTGGGTAAACGATGTAGTAGTCAGCTTCCATACAGACTTATCTCCTTGGAAATCCTTTGGGGCAGTCCTACACTATAACCCTAAGTCCCCTGGGGTCACTATAAGTTGGAATCCACTCCCTATGAATGAATGAGATTGATTTAAAGGAGGCTTTGTTCCTGGTATAAGGAGCACTGGTGGTACAATGGTTGAGTGGTAGGCTGCTAACCGGAAGTTAAGTGGTTTGAACTCACCAGCAGCTCTGCACAAGAAAAGGACTGGGGATCAGCTTCTGTAAAGGTTTTAATCTAGGGATTCCTAGGCAGCAGTTCTACTCTGAAGTTACTACGAGTCGGAATCAACTCCACAGTCCATGACCCCAATACTTTCATTCTGGGACTCTTGAGATGGCACTGACGACCAGGAGCTGAACTACTAGCAAGAAGGATGGTAGCGATCCCTGTCTGGAGGTACCCTGAAAAACAGCTCTCTGCTTCAAAAGGGAGAAAACTCCAAGGGATAGGTCTACTGTGCATGTGTGAGGCTACCATGAGCAGGAATTGACTATGACAACTAACAGGTTTTGTTACAAATAACTAAACCATTGTAATAAATATGAAAATGTAAAAGTGCTTGTAAATGGCCTAACTTTAGCAATCTGAAGCCCTCTAAAATGAGCACTGCTCGAATTAGAAATCTTACATCCAAAGTGAATTTAAAGTCAGGGTCAGCACATGTACAGGCTGGGCTCAGGAAAAGAACTTGCATTTCTGAGGGGAAACAGCCCATGGAGCTGCATACAGCTCTAATCTTCAATGCAAGGATTCACTAGATACACTTTATAGAACGTGAACTTTGCATAGATAAGACAAGCATTATTCAGTCAATTGCAATTTTGTGCTCATATTGGCATTTTGACAACTCAAGTAACTGCTTTTTAATTCTTTAAAAGGCTGACAGCAAAATGAAAGACATGGGTAAGCTCATCTGTAGTTTCGCCACCTAAAAACAAGCCTTGCCGTTCTAGCATGAGATCTTGCAGGCTGGCTCCACCAGCAGCCACACTTTAGCTGCTAGGATAGAGATTTCATATTTTAACTTTTCTTCCCATGACATCTATTTTCCTGTACTGCTGCTACGTACGAACAGTCTAGCATTTTAATGACTGCAAAATATTCTCCCAACTAATGTATGTTCACTATGGGAAGACCTCCAGCATCAAACCAATACATTAAAATAAGGAAGACTCATCTATTCGTTACCTACTAAGATTTTGGTAGATGAAGTCCCTAAAAGTTTTTCCTCTCTGAAATAATTAGATTAGTTGTCTTAAAAACTTTGCTCCCTAAATCTAGCATTCAACCTGGGGGGACTGTATTAAGTTCAGTTTGGTTATAAAGTAAAGGAAGAAAGCATAAGAGAGAATTTTACCGCCAGTGCCATCTCCAGCGGTGAAGTCTCCTCCTTGAATCATGAAATCTTTGATGACACGATGAAATTTGCTTCCTTTATATCCATATCCATTCTAAAGAGATTATTTCAATTGAATATACAAGTAGATACAACCCACACTGAAAGATAAATCATCTGGAAATAAGAAAATTAAACAAAATATCTATAGAACTTGATTAGGTCCCAGTAATGATTTTGACAGAAATTTATCAGGAGTTGATCAAATATGGTAATAAAATATGAAAGTAAGGAACATGTATGGTGTGATAAACCTCAGATATAAAGGTTAATGGAGGGGGGTAAAGAACTATGTGTACTTCTGCTGAACAACTAGTTCCTTCATTTTCTGGACGCCTAAGATTTTGTAAATATAGAGTTTATGGGAAAAGAAATAAAAGACAATGTCACCAGTTCGTCTCAACTATTAATCAAATACTTATTTTCCATGAAGATATCTTTCTACTTGGACTAAAAGAAGGAAGATCCAACATCATGAACAGTTACAGTAAATACACTAAAACATACCTCTCCTGTTGCCAGAGCAACAAAATTGTCCACAGTCTTGGGCACCACTTTTCCAAAGAGGCCAATCACAATTCTGCCAACATCCTTGTCTCCAATCATTACATCAAAGAAGACCTGTTGAAAGAGTAAAAGGCGATATTCTGGACAAGTCATATATACAAGATATGTCAAACACAGCAATCTGAGAACTGAGCCATAAACAAAAGGTTTGCCATCAGTTTCTTGTAACAAAGTTGTGAAAGAACATGATACAAAGTTAAGGGGCTCAAAAGCCATGTTAAGAGCATATTTCTCTCACACAGACTCATTCAGCATTATTTACTGAGCACCACTTATGACCAGGCACAATACTGGAACTGGGTTTAGCATTTGACCCATGATGTCCGAGTCAGCCTATACAATCTGGAAGAGTTCTGCTCCTCCCTCCAGCTTCAAATTCTCCAAACACCACCCTTACTTCTAGTTTCCCAGCTTTGTGGACAAGGTTAAAGTAGAAATTGTTGCTGTTTTACAAGGAAATGTTCCCTAATCTTTCCAGGAGGGGGGGAAATGGTGAGGAAAAAGTATATTAAGTATCCAGATTTATTTCTTTTTGTTGTTCTGAACAGCACAAATTCTCAATGAGTTCTCAATTGATGTCTGCTGTCAAGAGGACCACAGAAGATGATGAAAACGGTTGCACAGTGGAGTGTACTTGGGACAGGGGAATTGTATACCAGTGAAGGAATTTTTCTTTTACTTTTCAAAGAGAAGAGCGAACTGGAGGGGAGGGGTGGGCAGGGAGAAAAGTACAACAACATATGAATGGAAATCCAAAAATCTCTGTAAATGTTCATTAAAATTAATAAAATATAACTTTTTTAAAAAAGAGGTCCTTGACAACAATATAGGTTGTCAGTGAATCTTCCTTCAATCCAATGTCATATTCTTCATCATACTGTCCAGCTTCTTGGATTATTTGTTCAGCATACCGACTGAATAAGTACTATGAAGGAAATAAAATAAAATGTTGTGATAAAGTAAAAAAAAAAAGATGATGAAAACACAACGTTGCTTCAAAAAGGCCTACCACTCATGCCCAAGCACCAGCTCCCCATCCTTACCCGACCTACAGCAAACACCGCATGTGGGGCCCTTGAAGGAACCCCTTACTCTCTTCAACCAGATTTGAGTTCAGCTGTCAAGTTCCCAAAGTTACAGAAGTAAGATGTGTTCTTTATTTGTCATACACTTTTCAAACAGCCAAAGGGAACACATATCTAAGAGTGTGAGTCATCTACTTAAATGTTCTCCATGGACCTTTTTTTTTTTTTAACTACTTCATCCAAAAAGGAAGTTACGCATATTGTGCTTCACAAATCACTATGCAAAGAGGACCTGGAGATAGATTTGAAAAGGCCATGAAGTCAAAGTGCATTCTATTAGTGAGTTTAGATTATATGAACCAATTTACTGTTTGAAGGGCGGTGGGGGGGAGACATTCAGGAATGGCTTTAAAAAATATATAAGAGGGGTTGTCAAAGAAAAAAGATGTCTTACAGTTGAGAAAAATCACTAAGTAAAGACTGTCAAGCTTTAGCTTCAGACAAGAGCTTCTGCCAATACATCAGCACGTCTGTCATGGAGTGATGTGATATTTAGTGTTCCATGTGGCATTTTACAATTTTTACGTGGCCAAAGCAGCACAAATTTTATTATTATTTATTTAATAGAGATTTCCAGAATGCATAAAGGACCTTGCCCTTGAGATGTGGCAATACAGTGGAAGAGGACACTCAGCAGAGGCTCTGGGACAGGAACGCCTCAGCCCAAGGCTGCTCAGCGTGGAGCTGGTGCCACAGAGAGGTGAGCTTTCCAGAGGGATTTTTGAGCCAAAGTGTAAATTCAATAATGGGCAGTAATGGAGCAGTACCATAAAGAGAATTAGAGTGCTTGAGAAACACTGTGAAAATCTTCCACATGTTTAAAATAAAGAGAAAATAAATCCCAAGAATGTTTAGAGGGAAAAGAATAAAATCCAGGAGAGCAGCCTGGGAACGTGAAGAAAGAAATGCGTCTCATTTGCCGTGATTCTTATACCTGCCTCTCTATCACATGGAGTTGTTATGAGTTGGGACAAACTTAACAGTATCTAGCAACAACAATAACAACACAAATGTGAGAGCACAGGCATTTCTTTCAATAGCTCTGTTTCATTTTAGTATAAGCAAATACAGTAACTCTTCCATTTTCATAAGGAAGGGACCTCATGCTTGGAAGGGTGGATGGGCAGCGCAAGAGAGGAAGATCCCAGATGAGATCAACTCAATGACTGGGGTCATGAGGGTAGGTGTGTCAGAGACAATGAGGTTGGCTCAAGATAGAACAGGGCTTAGGGCTATTGTACATAGGGTTGTTAATGAGTCACAAATGACTCAACAGCACATAACAACAACATAACAAAGCAAATGATAAAAATCAAAGCTTATTTATCCTACAAGTATTTGTCAAAGCCTATGGGAGGCAAGGGGCATAAGTTGTACAAGTGAATTCCTATCCTCTGTTAGTTTCAAGGAAATAATTCATTCACTGCCATCAAGTTTGTTTCTACCCACAGCAATCTTCCAGCAGGTTCCCAAGACTGTAAATAGCAGGGGAGTCTTTCTTTTGTGGAGATGTTGGTGAATTGAAACTGCCAGACGTGCAGCCTTTGGGTTATCGGCAAAGCTCACTATGGAGTAGCACCTCCCCGCCCTCGCGCTCCCTTAGCCTCAGATCTCTTGTTGCCCTCTGTTGGAACAGACACCTATCAGACCCTCCACTGGGCTTCTGAGGCTGTAAATTGCAAGGGAGGACATTGCCCATCTTTATCCCCCAAAGCCACTAGTGTTTCGAACTGCCAGAAATGTGCAGCCTATTATGGGTTAGCAGCACAACTCCTTATGGACTATGCGACCAGAGCTCCCTAGCCTAAGATAAAGTTTATTCAATTATTATTGCATGACTCTTTAGAATCCCTGGATGGCACAAATTCTTCAGTGCTCATCGACTAACAAGCTGACAAGCCGACAAGGCCCTTTGTGGAATCAAGGAGAGAGGTTACAACATTCCTAGCCTCTAGCAATTTATCATGCGAGAAGGTGGGGAACGCACACGCAGCTATAATACAAGAGAGGGTCAGGTAATTCTGTGTGGGGGTCAGGATGAGCTTCCTGGGAGAGGTAGTACTTAGATTCCATCATGGACCTTGGCAGGGTTTAATGGGCACAAAAGTTTACAACATCATCACCTTCTTCCTTTTTACCTCCTCAGGATGCCCTTGAAGACCTTGAAAAAGCAAAACTCTTCTGAACAATAAAAATAAAGTGAGATGCATAGAACTCCCTTTATCTCAAAACCTACTCCATAGCACTAGTAACCAAAACAGCATGATTTGGGTACAACGACAGACACAGAGACCAATGGAATAGAACCGAGAATGCAGAAATCAATCTATCTACCTACAGTCAACTGGTATTTGACAAGTAATCAAAACCTACTAAATGGGGAAACGACAACCTATTCAACAAATGGTGCTTGCAAAACTGGTTATCTGCCTGCAGAAAACTGAAACAGGATCCACATCTCACACCACACACAAAAGTCCCCAAACCATAAAGATCATAAGAGACAATATGGGACCAAATTTAGAAGCACTATAAATAAGGGTTGGACATATAGCCAGAAATGCACAACCAAGAGTGGACAAAATCAACAACTAGGATCTTCTAAGATTCTCACCACTGGGCCAATTGGCAGCACCATAATAGATAGAGATGAGATTGAGGTTGTTAGTAATTACAGCTTGCTCGGCTCCACAATCAACACTCTTAACATCAGCAGTCAGGAAATAAAAAGATGAATTGCATTGAGAAAATCTGCTGTCATGGACCTCTCCAGAGTTCTGAAGAGCAACGATGTCAGTCTAGATACAAAGGTGCGCCTATTCCAGGTTATGGTCTTCTCAATTGCTTGTTATGCTTCAGAGAGTTGGACAATGACTAAGGATGACAGAAAAAGCATAGATGCCTTCGAGTTGTGGTGCTGAGAAGAGTCTTGAACATACCATGGACTGTCAAGAAAACAAATAGCTCTGACTTGGAGAGGGTGAAACCAAGTTTCTCCTTGGAGGCTAGGATTTTGAAGCTCTGCCTCATTGACTTTGGGCACTTGGCCAGGAGAGATTGGTCCTTGGAGAATGACATCATGCTTGGAAGGGTTGATAGACAGCACAGGAGAGGGAGACACTGGATTAGATGGATTGATATAGTAACTGGGGCACTGGGAGTTTGTGTGTTGGAATTAGTGAGACCGGCTCAGGACAGGGAAGGATTCAGAGCTCCTGTACATAGGGTCGCTATATATCACAGATGATTCAATGGCATATAACACAATAACATTATGATAGGTTTGGAAGGGGGAGTGGCATCCACTTCCTAAATAACATGCCTCTGGAAACTCTATGAACTTTGATAAATGTAGATAGTTGGAGAAGAGCTTCAAGCCTTTTGTTCATAGGGTCGTTATGAATTGTGCTCGACTTTCAATCAACAAGAAGGATCTTCTAAAAATAAAGCACCTTAAAAAAAAAATTAAGCACCTAGATGCTTCAAAACCAGGGTGAAAAGTAAACCCATAGACTGGGAAAAAGCATTTGGCAATGACATTTCAGACAAATGTCTCAACAAAATTTTATGGAATGCAACAGGACCTCCACAAGAAAAGGACTAATAATCCAATCACAAAATGGGCAAAAGGCCTGGAAAGACTTTCACAAAGGAAGACAATAAGATGGCCAATAGACACATGAAGAAATGCTCAAATTACTGGTAATAAGATGCAAATCAAAACTACAATGAAATACCATCTCACCCCAGTAGCAGTGGCAAAATTTAACAGGACAGCAGGCAAGAAATGTTAGAGAGGATGTGGAGAAATTGGAATTCATACACTATTGATGGGATTGTAAAATGTTACCACCACTCTGGAAGTCAGTTTCGTGTTTCTTAAAAAAACTTATCATGGAAATCTCATCTGACCAAGATCTTGCATTGCTAGGAATATATCCCAAGGAAATGAGAACTGAGACATGAACA